AGAGAGAGAGAGAGAGAGAGAGAGAGAGAGAGAGAGAGAGAGAGAGAGAGAGAGAGAGAGAGAGAGAGAGAGATGGTAGAAAAGGCGCAGAATGACTCGATGTATGGCGGAAGGTTAGGAATATGGGAAGATGCAGCTTGAACCAGAGATGGAAGGATGAAGCAGCATTCTGAAGGGAAAAAAAGGGTGTGTGCTGACAGTCAACCGATCAATAAGGCCATTCTTTGCGGGAGCATATCCCAGATGAGAGAGCAGACCCATCAATTTGTCTCACTTGGCATCTGAGAGCAGATGGAGAATGGGAAGGCAGGAGGAGGTAGAAGGGTGCGGATGAGGTTGGACATCTTGGGGGATGGATGACGGTTGATGATTTAGGTGGATGCATGAATCGAGACCATTTCTTCTTCTGGCCATTGCTGGAAGACAAGGGGAGCATGGAAGCGGTCGCGCCGTTCATTCCTTAATGCGCAGAAAGGTGATGTCTTCATTTCGCAGGCCATAGCTTCTGCCCAATCCCCTCCCCCCCTTCCCCACTCTCATACACACGTATGGTGTGGTGGGTTGTGTTATGGGGGGTGGACGCGGAAGAGGCTGGGTGTCTGCTTGGGTTTTAGAGTCTCCACGGTCACACACTCTCTGTGCTTCTGCAACAGTTTGTATATCTGCGAAACTTTCCCTTGCTGCCATCCCAATCCCTCCCCCCCTTCTCCAATCTCATGCACACATATGGTGTGGTGGGTTGTGTTTTGGTGGGTGGATGCGGGAGAGGCTGGGTGTCCGCTTGGGTCTTGAGAGTTTCACCTGCCACCCACACTCTGTGCTGCCGCGGCATTTTATGTATATCTGCAAAACGATCCATTACTGCCATTGCTACAGTCGTTTTGCAAATAGACCACGTTCTGGTAATATTGGCATCGGGGCGGGAAAGTATCCTGAATGCAGATATGATATGCTTTGTGTTCTGTTCGGAGTAAGATCGTGAGGATGGCCTGACTCGCTATGTCCTTGATGACTTGTGTTGGAGATTGGCCTCAGAAGGCATTCATTGCAAGCATCTGATTGCATCACCTACCCATTCATTGAAGTAGCATATCACAGAGCATCGTTTGTGTTGTTGTTGGGTTTGAAGGCCTGCAATGTGTCCTTCAGGACATCTGTTAAAATTGGAACGATACAGAGAATATTATATACCATGGCCCCTCCGTAAGGATGGCATGTCCAAATGGGAAAAAAAAGGGCTATACAATGTAAACATTGAACACTTTTGATGGGCCTAAGGGCCCCGCAATGGGCACTCTTGACAGGGTGAAGGGATAGCGTGAGCACCCTTTACGGGGCTAACGGCGGCATTCAACATCTTACTTAGGTGGGGACCGCCATGAGATGCAGGCAAAACCCGTGAGACAGAGGACGATAGCTTTCATAGCCCACAATCTAAACACAGCGTAACCGCAACGCAACACGACCCGTCACTATGTGCAGCATGCCGAGACCGCATCATGGGGACACGACGGGCACAAGCGCGCATTCCAACAAGTCGGGCGGATGACGGGCCAATCCTCACGATGCCATCTTACTGAGGTGGGACTAATAAGGGCCACAATGAACTGCTTTCAAGTTTTTTGACAGGGTTGAATACCTTGGACATATGGCTAAGAAGGGTGACATTGGAGGGGGCTTATGAAGGGGAGTAAGTAAGGGTCACATTGATCATTTTTCAAGTTTTTTGACAGGGTCCATGGGTACCTTGAACACCTTGGAAAAAAGACAAAGGGTGACATTGAAGGGGGCTTCTGAAGGGGGGGCTAAGTAAGGGTCACATTGAACATTTTTGACAGGGTTAAACTACCAATGCCTATGACCAGAATTAGTGCACAAGGGGTAGAGAGGTGAGAAACAAGCATAGGCAATCTCGATCGACGCGACGATCGAGAGTCGACAAGACGACAGAGATTGAAGCCAGAATCAAATTCAAGCATCCGATTCAAGCGTAGAATGTGTACCATGATCGCCTTATATGGGGTAGCTGGGCAACGAGGTGGTGGTTTGAGTTCAGGGGTACCATGATCGCCTCTGATGGGGGGGCTTTAGACGGGTTAACAGTTTAGACGGGGTTAAGGGCCACATTGGCCTTTTTTTTTTGGCCAGGGTTAATGTGTACCATGAACACCTTTGACGGGGCGAAGCGCGGCACTGAACTCTTTTTGACAGGGCTAACGACGGCTATATTGAATGCTTTTGACAAGGCTAAAGAAGTGGGGGGGGAGGGCGGGGGGGGGGGGGGGCTCTCCTTACGTTGAATACTTTTGGCAGGTTGAAGAGCTATCAAGTGCTTTCTGCTGTCCACTGCGCTTCTTTTCTCTTCTTTTTTTGTTCTCTCCTCCTCCTCCTCCTCCTGTGGACCTCTCCTGTCCAGGTGTCACTCTTATCTCCCTCTTCTCTTGCACTTGCTGTTTCACGTTCTTCTCGGAAGTCTCCGACTTTCTGCTAGTACTTCTTCCAGCACTTCTGTTTCCAGATGTTCGCCGCCCTCCGCGCGCCCTGTACCCCCTTTCCCCCCCCCCTCTTCCTGAACTATGTTGCACTCTAAACAGCCATTTAATAAAGGTGCTGCCAGCCCCATTATCATTAGTGCGGGCTAATCCATGGATACGATTCCCTAGGGACCATGGTTCACACTTTTCCTCCTGGGCTGCCCTGCGTAGGAGCTTGACCTTTGTTTTCTGAAAAAAAAAATTGGCACGAATGTCCTAAGAAGTGTCGTTTTGCCACAAATGTACTTCGGGACATCCGTTAAAATTGGAACGATACAGAGAAGGGTAAATTAGCAATATGGCCCCTGCGTAAGGATGACATGCATAAATCGAGAAATGGTCCAAATTAAAAACAAACGTACGAACAAACAAATGTCCCACGAAGCTGTCCTCAAGGCATGTGGAGTGGAAAACTTACACTGAATGGCCTCAAGCCGGGGGCACAACCCTTTTCAAATTGATAACCAGCAGGGCCCACCACCCTCTGACAAATCATATGCTGTGAGCACTCAATTACTGACATTCGCTTCCACCCCCCCCCCCCCCCCCCCAA